CTTCAACCCCCCCCCCCCCCCCTCATCTTCTCAAATCAAAGATACTGCCTCTTTAAACACTAAGGTATTGACCTTTGACCCTGATCAAATTAACTAAGAGACATGTTTATGTAAGAGACAATATGAGTGGTTCAAGTGTTTTTGTAAGGATCAATGTGATTGGTCGGTTATTGACACAAGGCGCCATATTGTATTAAACGTCGTCTGAATGTTTTAATCTAAGACTAGCAGAGTTTCAGGGAGATTGGAATCGATTCTGTAAACAAATTGAACGGTTTTTATTACCTCAGTAATTCATTAAAACCTTTTTCTTATTTTTTATTCATTGTATTTGGAGTTGCAGTATTTTCTATTGTATTTTCTAGTTTAACATGAATTTTGATATATTGTATTAAGAACTACTCTGAACTTGTAATATTTACTCAAAGAGAGTAATTCCTTTATTATTTTTCATTCATTCTATTTAACATGGTAGCTTTTATCTAATAAAATTTCATCAACAATTTACTCTAATTGTTCACATAGAGAAAACAAAAATGAAACCACAGGATTCAGTATTTTAATCACCGTATTTAGATTAGCAATCATTTCTGTTAAATTTTCAAGATTAATACATGCAACTTCATTTATCCAGAATTTGTTCTGGTGTCCATTTTCAAAACTTTATTAGATTGCTGTATAACAAATCATATACCATTAAAACCTTAGCTATGTCATATATCACTAGAACCTTAGCTATGTCATATATCACTAGACCATTAGAACCTTAGCTATGTCATATATCACTAGAACCTTAGCTATGTCATATATCACTAGAACCTTAGCTATGTCATATATCACTAGACCATTAGAACCTTAGCTATGTCATATATCACTAGACCATTAAAACCTTAGCGATGTCATATATCATTAGACCATTAGAACCTTAGCTATGTCATATATCACTAGACCATTAGAACCTTAGCTATGTCATATATCACTAGACCATTAAAACCTTAGCTATGTCATATATCACTAGATCATTAGAACCTTAGCTATGTCATATATCACTAGACCATTAGAACCTTAGCTATGTCATATATCACTAGACCATTAGAACCTTAGCTATGTCATATATCATTAGAACCTTAGCTATGTCATATATCACTAGACCATTAGAACCTTAGCTATGTCATATATCACTAGACCATTAGAACCTTAGCTATGTCATATATCACTAGACCATTAGAACCTTAGCTATGTCATATATCATTAGAACCTTAGCTATGTCATATATCACTAGACCATTAGAACCTTAGCTATGTCATATATCACTAGAACCTTAGCGATGTCATATATCACTAGACCATTAGAACCTTAGCTATGTCATATATCATTAGAACCTTAGCGATGTCATATATCACTAGACCATTAGAACCTTAGCTATGTCATATATCATTAGAACCTTAGCGATGTCATATATCACTAGACCATTAGAACCTTAGCTATGTCATATATCACTAGAACCTTAGCTATGTCATATATCACTAGACCATTAGAACCTTAGCTATGTCATATATCACTAGACCATTAGAACCTTAGCTATGTCATATCACTAGAACCT